GTTAAAATAAAATATATATAAGAAATCACTAAGGTTAATCAAGAGTAATGTAATAATAATAGTTACAATAATAGTAATAATAATAATAATATTAATAATAATGATAATGATAACACTGATGACAATAATAATAATACTAATAATAATAATAATAATTTCCAATTGGCTCCCTAAGGCCAAATGTTACCATAAGGGTCTTTTCCCAATTCCTAGGCATCACATAATGACCCTTTCGTGTGCGCCTTTGTAGACCATAATGTGACACCATATACAAAGTCCAGATGCATTAAACAAATCAATATTATATCCTAGAAAGAGAAACACAAATAATCTATCTGCACAATTTATCAACTTGACATAAAATTTTAAATGCCGTGAATCCATTAAAAAAAAAATGTGTGTTACATATGCTAAGAAAAAACAAAAAACAAAAAATAAAAAAATATATATTTGGATGAAGATCTACAAGGCGTTAAAAAAAGAGAGAAAATACAGATATGAAAAAAAGATGGACAGCAGTTATTCAAACACTTAAAAAAAAAAACAGAAAAAAATAATATCTACATCAACTTTTTTTTTCTCAACAGCACGTCTCAAGAAAGTTGAGCATTCTGTACCTGAAATCCAAGTTATATTTTATCACTCTCATAAGAGTAACTGCCATTGCATATACGAATAAACTCCTCCATGAGTTTTATCTTTATTATTTCTTTTAAATCGCTTACATATTACTGTGTACATCGTCTTAACATATAATATCACATACAATAGGACAGGTACTGCATATTGTCCGAATCTTTCACTTTTCCTCCTTTTAAAAACACGCACTTGCACGCACGCACACACACGCAGAACACGCACCTGCTGTGTTATAAAAATCTTCACTCAAGACCGCTTAGGTTAGCACCCGCGTGATCGTCCGGTTACTCATGTTGCCTCTCATTACCACATGACATGACAGCAAATCCCTGAACACATCCCTACCTCATAACGCGAAGGGAGGTCTGTTCAGCATTCCAACCCTCGTTACCATAAAGCCCTTGCCTTCTTCAAAGAGGGACTGTAACAATGAACACCCTCTTTGGCACAGAATTTGAGGACAAACTGTTTAATTTGTGTTAAGAAGAAAATAAAATCCGTGTCCTTGATAAACTTACAACTAACTGCATAAATAATAATCTCGCATCCTCTTCTACAAACGGTGTAGCATATACATTAAAACATGTATATACACGTACGTACATACATACATACATACATGCGTATACATATACATACACACACATATATATATACACACGCATATACATACATACATACACACACACACCCATATATACACGCTATCACTTAGCAGTTGACTCAGTGCCTTATAAAGAACCTGACGTCACGCGGGTGCCTTGCTAGCGAACACACCTTCACTCACTGACCTACGACCTTGAGCTGTCAGAATTTTAGTACATGACAGAAGACAAAACTGCATGGCATGAGCAGGGCAATGCATAGAGTTCATGGGAAAGGTCATGCGCCTCTATACGCAATGTGAAAATAAAACAACAATAATTGGTCATTCTGAGTGAGAGATCAAACGGAGATGGAAATGAAAGGAGAGGGGAAGAGAGGGAAAGAGGGAGGGAGGGAGAGAGGGAAAGAGGGAGGGAGGGAGGGAGGGAGAGAGGGAAAGAGGGAGGGAGGGAGAGAGAGAGGGAGAGGGAGAGGGAGAGGGAGAGGGAGAGGGAGGAGGGAGAGGGAGGGAGGGAGAGGGAGAGAGAGAGAGAGAGAGAGAGTGAGGGAGAGGGAGAGGGAGAGAGAGAGAGGGAGAGAGAGAGAGAGAGAGAAATTGACTGATTAATAATACTGATCAAACAAACAAAAATGGAGGAAAAACAAACTAGAGAGAAAAATAAGGAATGAGCAGAGAAAGACAGAGTGAGAATCGAGAAAAAAAATAAAAGCAAAAAAGAAAGAATAGAAACCTAACCTCAGCTATTTATAGGCCTACAACGTCCCTAAGTAATTAACAGGAGATAAAGTCAGAGGAGACAGAGAGAGAGAGAGAGAGAGAGAGTCTTTGTAAACATAAATTAAAAAACGCATCTTGCATATTGCATATATATATTCATCTTGCTCTCTCCCTTCTCCCCCCCCCTCCTCTGCAACTCCAAAACTTTGCAACAAATACGTTCCTTTTTTCTGAGTACACTAAAACGGAGAAAAAATAGAGAACCTACCTATCTATATCTAAATAAATAATGTTCCTCTAATGACAGGACAAAAGAAAGAAAGAAAGAGAGAGAGAAAGAGAGAGAGAAAGCGATGATGATAACGGGACATACACAAATATCAAAATAAAAATCTTAAAAACGGAGCACATCATCTCGGTTAGTTAACCTCTTGACCAAACTTGAGCAAAAAGGTAAAATTGCATTCTTTCTCTTTGTTTGTTTGTTTGTTTTTTTATTTGTTCACTTTGACCGTGAAAGATTCCGGACTTTAAGAGATTATTGTTTTTTTTTTTGCTTTTGTTTGTCTGAACTTGGATCTGGTACAAAGACAAAAAATATATATATAAAACGAAAACATCTTATTTGCATCGTAAACGGTTATTTTCCTGGTTTTATTTACTTCTTCCTTATAAGTGACTTACACTGGCGTAAATTCTTTAAGTGTGTATAATATATACACACATGAACGCACACGGACACACACACACACGCACACATACATTACTACTCTCTTCGAACAAAAAGAAAAGAAAAATATATAGATTGATATATTTTCGTGACGTCTGTTTCAACACTAGTTCACTAACTTTAGAATTAGAAAAAAAAATCCATCTCTCGTTGTTATAAACCACACAGATGTTTACGTTCCTGTCCATTTAAACCCGTAAAAAACACCTCTGTGGGTTTTCTTTCCCTTAGATTTTCACGTTTCGCTTGACTGACGGAGAACGCGATTTTCTGTTATTTTTCTTTCTTTTTCTTTTCTTTTTTTTTTTTTAATCCACTTTGAATGTTCTTTAATGTATGTATTTATGTGTGGCTTGTATGTCACGCCCATCGTCAAGTGCGCCCATCCCAGCACCTGCGGGCGGGCGCCTGGCGGTGGGCGGTTGCGGTCGGGTCACTGGGTACACGCTCGTCCATGGGCGTGCCTGGGCGCGGAGGGAACGTGCACGCGCGTGTGTGTGACGGGGTATTCCTGTACTGGCGTGTGTGTTGTGAGGGGAAGGTCCCCTGCGGGCGACGGACGCACACACGCACGCACACGGGCACAAGCCACGTCCTTGACCGCTGGGCTTTTTAGCAGGGCGGCGGGCAGCGAGTGGGCGGCGGGCGGCGGCAGCTGTCTTGAGGGGCATGGTGGGCGGCCTTCTGGGCGCGGCGCGTGGGCGTGGGCGTTAGGGCGTGGTGGGCGGCGAGATGACTGCGGGCCGCGTGTTCTCCTTCTCCTCCTCGCGCTCGGAGCGGCTCCTGCGGGCGGCGCAGGTGTCGCAGTCGGACTCGGAGCAGTCGCTCGAGGAGTTGGTCGAGTCGGACTCCGAGTCGCTGTCGGTGGACGACGAGGACGACTCGCGCGGCACGACCTGCTTCCTCCTGCGCGCCAGGCGCTGGCGCAGCGCCGCGTTCTCCTCCTGCAGCGTCAGCAGCTGCGCCTGCAGCGTGGCCACGAGGCGCGAGGGCGACGCCGACAGTGCCTCCGTCAGCACGGCGGCGCGCGCCTCCAGGGCCACGATGGCCGCGCACAGGTCGGTGCGGCTGCCGCCCATCAGGCGGTCCTCGCGCGCGCTGCGGTACGCGCTCTCGAAGTCCGCCAGGTTGAACGGGTACCAGTCGCGCGTGTGGGCGTGCGTGGGCGTGGCGCTGCCCAGGTCGTCCTCGCCTCCGCTGGCGGGCGGGTCGTGCTCCCAGCCGGGCGTGCTCTTGTCGAAGTTGAGGAACAGCGCCGAGTTCTCGTGGTCGTCCATGATGAACTGGGTGCTGTTCTCGGGCGCGCGGGGCACCTGGGCGCCCACGGGCCGCAGCACGGGCGTGGGCGGGCCGCGGGCGGGCGTGAAGGGCTCGCCGCAGCCCGCCGTTGGCGACACGAGCGCGACGCGGCCCTCCTCCTCCTTGGGCGTGCGGCGCCGCCTCCTCCGCCGCTTCTTCTTCTTCTTGAGCGCCGCGCCGCCGCCGGACGCGTCGCGGCGCCGCGCGTTGGCGCTGCGGCTCTGCAGTGGCTCAGCTGATCGCTCCATGACGTGGCAACGCCGCGGGACGGCTACGCTTGGCAACGTCGCACTGGCCTCCGATACTCTCCGCTCACAACACGAATTTCCGAGGATTTTTCTCCCGCTTTTCGGGGCGGAGGATCGCACTTTCGACGACGCGGCCGATCAAACTATCGTATGCTCTGTTAGTAGGTCACAAAACACCACACGGATTGACACAGAAAAATAGATATCTGGAATCATGTCTCGCTGTGAAGGAATGACTCTTAACTCGTCGCCCGACAAGCCAACACTGAGCTCCGAGCCTCCGAGGATGAAGCACCCGGGCTTGGCCCTCGTTGCCACACGCCGCCACGCGCCCTTACTACCTGTCCTTTTCCTTCCTTCCTTTCTCGCCATTTTCTTCCCGATCGCTTATGGAAGATGGAGGAAGAAATAAAGGCACTTTACCACGGAAGAATTTTAAGCTTGTAGACGATCTAGACAGCGAGATAAATCGAAACAAGTGAGTCCCTTGCGCGCGCAGACATGTCACATGCTGCTTTCAGGCGGGAGGTTCAAATTCAAAGTAACATCCAACCCTGACGTAAACATTATCTCATGTCTTATAGAATAAGATATATTCACTGGATAGGACTCACAACGTTATGAATACGATGATATAAGCCAGAAAAAAAGTCGTTATTGGCGCGAAAAATGTGTCACGACATTAGGAAATATATGATCGATACACTTCCGGTAATCGTAGAGAAAACGTTTCTGTAGCTATGCTCAATATCGCGTTAAA